GGTAGTATGCCTGAGCAGATATTTGTAGAACACTGGTCAGAAATGAAGGAAAATTTGATGTATATCCCCATATATCCATGGCCTATAAGCCTAGATTCCAGCTCAAATGTAGTAAAACTCCTGTGACTATAGCAAAAGACCATGAGATATCTGAGCAGGGCACCCAGAGCCTTGTGGTATCTAAACACAGTAAGGCCACTCTGGTCATTCTTTGCCATTCCTGACTTCTCTCGGGCCATCAACCACATCCCTGCAGGACTTGTGGCTTTTCGACAGATGAAAGGACACAAGGTTTTCACCTTCAGTAATTAAAACTCCAGAGCACAGTATATTTAGGGACAGCAGAGAATGCAGACATCTTTTTCTTTGGACCAAGGGAAATAAAAAGACCAGAAGGAAATGGGGACAAGCCACCTTTCTACGCCTCTATAATGATGGGACCTTGGGAAATCTGGTACCACTAGTGCAAAGTCCTCCAAAAGAGGGTCAGACGTTTCTCTCCTTGGCCAAACAAATGTACTCTAGAAAGAATGGACAGTGGCTTAAAGGTTAACTTTCCCATTCTCATAGCCGTCATTTCCTTTCTGATCGAGTCCCTGGGCCTCCACAGGCTGCTCACTCGTATTTTCGTGTACTTTCACTTTATCACGCCTACAAATAAATGTACTTTCAATGTGACAATACAACCTAATGTTGAACCTCAACTTCTAGAGAAAGAACAAGTCAAGCCCAAAGCTCATATGATCGAGGAAATTATGTTGATACAAGCAGAAATTAATACAAGCAAGACTAAGAAAATACAACTAAGCAACAAATCGAAGATATGATTCTCTTAAGATTAAAACTGACAAACTTTTAATCAGTCTTATCCAAAAAAAGGAAAGATTCAAACCCATGCAATTCGGAATGATGAAAAGGGTGAAATCACCTTGGATCCTGCAGAAATGAAGAGCACCAAAAACTTCATCAAGACTTCTAGATTTAATAACCAAATTCAGTAGCATAGCTAGATACAAAGTCAATAATTAAGGGCTGGGGATTTAGCTCAGCGGCAAAAGCGCCTGCCTGGCAAGCGCAAGGTCGTGAGTTCGGTTCCCGGTACCGGAGAAAAACCAAAAAAAAA